TCATTCGATACAGCAAACTCGTCGAGTCTATTCAACGTTGATCTAGTTTCCGGGGTTGGAGAACGTATTCTTTGACGCCATTGCGGGAGACGCAAGTCGTTTAGATCGTTCAATGGGCGTAGTTCCTTTACAAACCTCCACTCTACAGTTTAAGAAACATCAATCAGAAGCAAAGTTTCTGGGTGCTCTCCGGTTACTCGCAGACTGACGCAGACTATCGAACGTTACCTCATTCATCAAAGCGGCACACCGAGACGGAACAGTTATCCCCGGCAAGCGTCCAATTACTTTCTCGTCCGGGGACGTTCCACGCGTCATTACGCAGCGTCTCCGGCCTTGTTCATTTTCAGCCCTTCTCGACCCTTCTCTCTATTATACACTACCCTCGCGATTCTCGCTTTCTCTCTTGACCGATTTTTCCTTCTCTAATCCGTTCTGTGCTCTCGCTCGGCCATTACGCGTCCCTTGCGAGCAAGCAGGTGCGGCAAAGCACTCGTCGAAGCCACAGAGAGTCTCGCAAAGAAGAAGATACCCAACCTCTAGCGCGCGACGAATAAGAATCTCCGACTATACTTCGCCTCTCGAATAAATCCGAGCGAAAGGACGGTCGGTAAACGAGCCGCGGGGACTGGCATCCATGCCGATCGGACCGTCATAGTCGAGGAACTAAGACTCGTCTAGCGAAAGGGTTACGCTCCGGGGAGAATAAGAACGAGAACAACAGGGCAATAAAGAGGACGAGGTGAGGCTGAGAGATAGGGGAGATCGAAAGAGAGGGAAGAGTAAACGGAGAAGAAAGATAGTCAAATAGGGAGCGCGAACTAAGCGAAAAATCAGAGGACAAAGCGTCGCTGGGAGAACGGAAAGAAGATGAGAGAGGCAAGGGGTTGAAAAGGAAAGGGGAGCGAATCGGGTGTCGGGCTAACTTGACGACGGAGCTGTACTATGTTATCCCTCAGCCGTAACCGAAGAAGAAGCGGAGGAACAGGGGCGTGCCTCGTACCTCCTTACAAACTGTCGAAACTTTGACTACCACCCTACCACCCTCCCGACTACTGGCTTTACGTGGCAGCTTGCTCGCCTCGCCGTACATAGACCGCACATACACACGCGAACATACGTAAGTATACCTGCACACGTATATAGTAAGTATACTGTCTTCTTTGACTGCAAAGTACATGTTTGCGTGCGCGTGTAGATTTTGGAGAACATACGGTACCCTCGAATGATGCCTGCGAGAAGTCCTCGTACGAGCAGTCGGACGAATTCGATAGCACCGTTTAATATCACCCTCGAACTTCGTTCATCAACGGAAGAGAACGAAGGACGAGGAAGAAGTGGTTTTCGCGCAGCTAGTAACACGAGAACACGTGATTAAATACGACTTTGTGACGCTTCTTCTTCTTTGGCTGGAGGGAAATTAACGAGGAGACACAAAGTAGCTACGCTAATTATATAAAAAAACCGTGTTCCCTCGTCCATAATTCGAAACCACGAGAAAAAGAGAGAGAGAGGGAGGAGAGGCAAACAGACAGTAAGAGAGACAGAGAGAAAGAGAGCGACTTTTTCATAGGAAAAGGTGGCGTGGCAGAGGTGAGAAGAACGTATTATCGTATGGTAGTGTGTAAGTAGAAACACGAGCTGCGACGAAGAACGCCGTGAATGTCTCCAGGGCTCGATAAATTCGACGAAATTTCCGCGACGTTTATGTCCAACCTAAGACCCTGGAATCGTTACGATCTCACAGTTAGTGCTCTACAACTACAAGCTGAATATGATCGCCCCTGGTACACGATAGAGGAGAGAGGAAAGAGCCACGGACAACAGAGACCATCACTGACATCGACTACATCCAGTAGCCGTGTATGCTGTTTGATCTCAATAGGAATGGTTGTAACTCGAAGTTGGCTTACAAGCGCAATCATGCGCAGAGATCTTTGGGAATTGAATGACCAGTTCGCATCGCCTCGCGGTATCCAAAAGGAGAACTGGAAATCGAACAAGCTGCACGTCGGTGACACGGGTCACGAGCCACCCTCTCTCTTTCTCATCCTGTCTCTCCTTTCCGAGAAGTCGCGAACCACAGACAATAATATAACTTTGGTTATAACGTTTTAAGATCGCATCTATCATCCGAAGTACCAAAGGACGATGTGTTTCGCGATCTATGAAACAACTTGATGATTGCTACTTTGACTTTGTCGATCTTCGAATTTCACGATTCTGGTTGGTCTTTAGTGGCTCCATGGACGTTCAAACGAATCCTACAGCATCAAAGATATGGCATCTCTTTCGAGGAAGCAGAGTTTCTTCTCGAGGAATTACATCGTTTAACGTAGCATTATTACGTTTATCCGCGACGACTTTCTTACATCGGACTTCGGGTTGCTCTAAAGTACAAGAACCATAGCCGTAAATCACCGAGAAGTAGTGATTACGCGAGCACAACGGCAACCGACACGGCACGACAACGAGCAACCCCGGCTAACACTGTTTCCAAATCGTTCGTTAATTTTATATCACTCGTGCATGAGACGTTGCGCTTAACAATTGCGCGGCGGCACGCGAACCATGGAAGAACAACGTTAACGCCAGTATTGCTCTCGCATTTCACCGTGTCGTTACCTTTAGCCTCTGTTCTACGCGACGAACATATTCGATCGACGCCGATTCGCGCATCGACGACGATCATTCAATCGAAAGGTAAATCCCACGAACGACTGTCTGCACGGTCGGGAATTTACATTGCGACGACGATGAAATTCTGGCCAATGAAATATCAGAAAAAGACAAAGTCTCACGATGAATTCAGAATTCTCGAAGCACGTCGAAGCGAATCGCGTCCCACGTTCAATTCTCGACCGAACGACGTCGGATCGAGATGCTCTGGGCAAGCGTCAAACGTCCGATTAACCCAGCCCCATATTTCGATCACGTAACAACCATGCAAATCGCGATCATCCAATTACGCGGCTCGAATCTATTTATTAATTAATATTCAAGGCGTTGCATAACGAGGATACAATCGCACCTGCATTGTCACAGCGCTGCGTAGGATAGCGACCATCTCCCTGTTTCGATCCTCCCTTTACCTCCCTGTCGAAGGTCCAAGACAGCGAGCTCGTAAATCCAGACGGTTGTAATTACCGGGACAGTAGCCGGGCTCCGTTGATCGCGAAGCTGCCAACGCTTTCATATCCGTACTGATTTATTAAACCGCTTTCATCCTCCGACGCGAGACTCGCATGCCAAGACCTCGCAGTTAAATCGTGGTTCACCGAGTTTCCCATTCCCGTTCTAATCGATGCCTCCGATTTCTTCTTCTCGCGAAGGTCGAGAAAACACAATTCTATATTTTATTCCTTCAACCGACCCTCGAGCGCATACGACGAATCACAGTTAATGTTGTAACATCGTAGCGGTGAAATTACGTCACTGTAAATACGACAAATTTACTATTCCATCAAACCCCTCCTACCTGCGATGGAAAGAGAGTACACACCGAGACAAAGCATACCATTATCCCGTTCCATTCCATTCCGCGAAGGATGGGAGAAGCTTGGGTTGGAAAAATCATTGGTAGACGAGGCGTAGCGAGGTAGACAGGTTCGTTTCACAGCGACACGGTGTCACGGGTGTACCGCAACCGGTTGAAAAATTCAACGTCAACCAATTATTCGGACGGGGGAAAACGGTCGGGGCGTCGCGTCGTGACGTCCGTAAACGCGAACGCGAGCGGCGTGGCGCGCGACTCGACCCGTGCGGTTAACAAGTTATTCGTGGGGGCAGCCATTGAATAATGTAGAATTTAATTTCATCTCGGCTGCCACTGTCCTCATCGACGCAGCGGGCACCAAGCGTTGATTCGCGCCGTGAAACATTTAGCGGCCGTGAAATTTCCCATGCGACCGGTCGGATACGGCCCGGCTGCACGACCAGCCCGGGTATTTGTCGATGGACGAGAACCATCCGGAGAACACGTCCGCTCTTTCCGCAATTCGTGCCTTGAATTTAGGACCGGGGTCGGCCAACGACGTGGAGAAAGGAAGAAAAAATGGGATGCCTGCCGGCTAGGGATGGCACGACCGAAGGTGTGGGAACAACGGTGAAGGGAGGGAAGGGGTGGACGAAAAGAAAGACGAGGTATAAAACGTCGGTGAAAAGACAAGGGCAGAGGGTTTTGGGCGAGATCGGTAGCAGGCTGAAAGAGGGAACGAGAAGGGTGGAAAAACGCCAGTGAGCCGCGTTACGGATTAACGGGGGCGCCTGTGCTACAACGACGATGCACTTCCCGGATATCCGAGCGTCCGGACAGTTCGTGAGATATTCAACGGACCGAATATCCGGACAGATTATACGATTTTCCTTTTTGTCACGGGTGTCCCCCCCCCCCTTCATCCACCGCCATGTCTACGTTTTCATTGTTTTCTACCTCCTTTGTCCCCTTTCGTTTCTATTTCTTTCTCCATATATTCCCTATCTTATCTCTACATCTCTGACACATCGACGGTATTCGATACAGCCGAAATTTCACGTGAGAATTTCATAGCTGACACTTTGGACGAGGCTGGATTCGTAAGAGAAATTGATTTATCAGAAGAGGAAAATGAGTGGCCGGGATTCGACTTCCTTGTCACCGCGATCAACCGGTCTGTTATCGTGCCAACGTAGCATTAAATATTCCTATCGATATCATTGGCAGTCTCGACGTTCTAAATTCATCGCATCACTTGCCGGATATCCCTGTCTCCTCGACCGCGGGACATGCCGATGAAGGTGAAACTAATTACGTCTATTCCACCCATTCATAGCCGCGACTATTGTGACGCGAAGATTTAAATAGCTCAATGATCTTTTAAATGAAATATTCTCATACTCTTCGTAAAACCTTAAAGTGATCTGCGATTTTACGTGTAAAATTCTACGCTTTTTTTTCTCCCCTGTCTAATATTATACGCAATCGGACGACATGGACGAATAAACGAGATGAAGAAACGTACCTGGTATTGTTGAATATTTCATCCAAAGTTTGCTTCAAGGTTTGTTCGTTCAGTTTGACGAAATCCACCACCAAAGCGACGCCTCTAGCTTGAGCCGCGATCGCATTCTGGTATTGATCACCGAAGAAAGGCATGAGAACCATTGGAACCCCGCTCTGAACTCCTTCCGACAAACCGAGAAGACCACCGTGTCCGAAGTAACACTTAACGTTTGGATGATCTGTAAAGTAAATAAAAACCTGCTTCAGTTTCGTTCGATGTATTCAGTTTCGTGTATTCGGTCGATTCATTTATAAAACGAGCCATTCAAACTCGCACTTAATGAATCGATCGAAGAGAAACTAAATCGTTTCTCATGGCTGTAAAAGCTGAGCGTCAAAACCAAACCGAAATCAAGCCATACGTCCGTAGAAATCGATTCTCGATATCGGAAATCCATGCCTCGAATTCACCGCGACACGTATATGTATTCTACCCCTTTCTTGTTTCACGATGAAAAGAGGAAGCGTGACGTGTCCCTATTCATAAATATCAAACGTTAGATTTCATTCGATCGCCGTGTAAAGTGTAAAATATGAATGATCGCATAGAAAGGAAATCGCTTGGATAACGTTGAGAATGCGCGATACAAATGATTAGAGTAGTATGAGTAGTATTTTGGCAGAAATCGGTATAATAAGGCAGAGGTGTACGAGCCCTCGGGAATTTCTCGACTTTAAATAAATCCCAGTGTCGAGTATTCGGCTGAAAAATTCCTGTCGTCCTCGTTTATCGCGAGGAGTCACCCTCTATAAGAGGGCGGTTGCCACATCCCCGTTGCCATACAGGATTCCATACCTCCTCCGGCGTCGATCCTAATGTCAAATTCCATTACCACACGACACCTCCCACCATCTTCTACCCGTTGTAGCAACCCTTCGGTCCCCCGACGCCTAAGTATCCCTTTCCCCTCGCTCTCGATTTGGGTACAGATGTAGACGAGCTGTAGGAGTTACGTTCGCCTTGCAGAACCGTAAGGGTGGTTCAGAGGGGCGAAGGTTCCACGGCAGAGCACCTCTCGAGGTTTCGCGCTCGCTCGATACATCGTCGCATCGGCGCGCGTCGATACGTGACAGAGGATATCTATCGGGGGCTGGTCTGAATTTTTGCGAGCGACATCGGGAATACGACAACCGGAGACCGAGAGAAAATCGGTCGGGCGTTCGCGCGATTTGCTCGAGATTTCCGTCAGCCGCGAGATACATTTTTACGGCGTCGCTGTAACGAGAAAATAACGCCACGGTATTTCCTCGACGATGCTAGCTAGCATCGTGTTTTACGACCGTCGGCAAGCCCACCCCTCCGGAGAATTGATATTTGGCCGTCTATGGGCTGAGCTAGTCGTAAGACCAATGTAATGAGAGCAACGAGCTGTTTCTTATTGTAGGAGAGTACGTGTTGTAATATATCTTGTATCAGGTTGATTATGTTATAGACGATATCGTTGTAAAATAAGAAATATATAAAATAAAAAAGAGGTATTTTATTCGTTCGATTTGAACGATCCGATCATCCCCTAGACGGAAAATTACTGACCTACTAATGGACTATGTAAAAGAATGTATATCTAAACTTAAGTGGCTTGAACGAAGCTTTAAGAACGAAACTGAAAAACTTTAAGGGAACTGGCGAATCTTTAAAGGCGTTAAGACTGAAAGGTCAGATCTAAGTGACCTTTCACCTTTCACTATGACAAACCATGCTCGAGGAATGATGTACGTCGTCTTCTACGAATATCAAATATACGCAGACCCAGAACCGTATCTAGTAGTATTGATATAAGATAAAAATTGATAATTTACCCATTTTGATGAAGTTATCTGAACCGTTGACTCACCGAGAAGATAAGTTTCTGGGACAAATTGAATAGCGATTGGTATTGCTATTGGTATTTGGAATTTCAGCGGTATATCACCAAAGAGTTAGCATTGCCGGACGGTGCGACGGCCTGACTAGTTTAATCCAATAAAATCGTACAAGTAGCAAAGAAGTATACCCTATTCCTTAATGGAAAGCAAGAGGAATAAAGTGGATCTCGATAGAATGATTCCGCTCCTTGTTCCTGGGAGTAATGTAATCTATCGTTTCATCCCTGTCGTTATATCGTTAAATGCGATACTCGAGGGCATTGCGTGTCAACACATCTCCCATACCATCGATATCGTTGCCTCTAAAGTCAATTACATTAGCGAGTTCTATGCGAATTGACAAGATCGATGGCAAACAGGACACAGAACCGTTCCACGATCTAGAATCTAGAACAAGCCTTTGAGTCAATGTATCGCAGATCCTATTTATTCGAATGATCTTCTCCGATTAAACTATCCCGATCTTCGAAAGGGATAAAATTCGCCGATAGCGAGTTTCTCAATTCGAAAGTATAGCTAAATTTGCACGATGCTTTCGCCCGATAGCTTTCCTATCTGTCGTTACAAACTTGCCCGATAAAAGTGTAGTTACCATGGTCGAACGGGGGAGGCTACGTGGCGCCAATTAAAGGACAAGGATTAACGATTTCCACGGTTTTATAAGAACAACCCTTACCGTAAGTTACGAGCGGACTCGTGCACCATTTCGCGTGCGCCGTTTAAAGCGTGCGAAGCAGCAGGGGTAGGAGCAAAGCGTAGCCACAGATCTTATCAAGATCACGAAGACCGTGGGGGATGGCCACTGACCACGCTTGCAAGGAGACGAAGGAAACGGGACCGGGATACACCGATCACGAAGAGAGATAATAAAATTAAAGCTATCGATTCCAGCCTCCGGTCGAGTTGCCGCTAGTTTTAGCTAGATTATCTGACCATCGAGGCTACCCATCTTGTGCAATCGTCCAGCCATCGAAAAACTCGATCGTTACAGTCTTGACACCGATCTCTCTAAAACAACGTTCGACAACGAACCCTCGATTAATGGTCGTAAATAAGCATCTCGACGATGTACAGTCGTCTCGGAACGAAACAAACATTTGTGGCATTGCGAATAATGCAAGAGAAATTAAAAATATTTTCATAAATGCATCAAAATCAGAATGGCACAGCACAAACGCGAATCTTACAAGCATATTAAATTTGAACGTAACAAAACTCTTTAAAGCCGTAATCGAAGCAAAATAATTTCATACACGATATTCATTTGATTGAAATTTGTAATATTTCACGTTGAAAATTTGTAATATAATATCAATATCGAAGGTTTACCTTACCTTTCGATACTGCCATAATAAACGATATAGACATTCCTTACTTGTTTTCCTCTATTTAATAATATAAGAACAAATAATTATTTTGTTTCTTTCAGTAATATAAGTAAATAAAAGAATATGTTACTAAAATTCACGTTGTTACCAAACATTTATTATCTTTATTTATTCATAGATGTCAATCGTTAACTTATTTTCCAGGCAGACTGTACGTATAATATTGTACGATCGTATAGCGTTAAACAAAACTTACATAATACGCCGATCCATCCATATCCTAAAGTAAGGTTTGATCAGAAGGCAGGGCGGTGTAACGTAACGTAATGTGACGACTAGATGCATGAAAAGGAGGCATAAATGATATTTCGTAATACACATCTACGTCACGAATGATGTTGCAGACATCGTGGTTATCTAAATTGTACATTTACGACATACGACGAGCCCGTTGTAAAATTAATAAGAAAATGTACAAGCATATTAGGCATATTATCCCAGTGTTGTGCACTTGTCATTATTCGTGAGAATAAAAAACCCAATATACATAGTCATCTCAATCGCGTATATCGTAATTGCACCCATGACATGACTAACAAAAATTATTTAAAATACGAACAATGGATAAAGATGACTAAGCTTATCTCTGTCGCGCAAGATTATTCGGTGAAATATGACCAACGCACGTGATGTAATTCCACTACGTAAGGAATTTCGTAATCGAACAACAACATCGGACGACGTGTGGCTTTTACACCATCAGAGGAAAAGCGTTCGCGAGCATGTGTGCGTGATCAAGTAGAGATCGATGACACAAGGCTGACCACGTTAGTATCCAAGTTACAGTATAGAGTTCCATCGCGGAAGAGGATGGAAGAACCGACATGAACAATGCGACACCAAGGTATCCTTCGCCGGAGGTTTTAACGGTGATTTATGTTGCCAGCAGGTCGTTAGCGAGTTGCCTAATTAATGTCATTTCACTCGACAGTGGCCAAGAGCTGCGAAACTACTTACTGTGAGTTTCGATGGTCCCGTGTCTTCGTTCTTGGCCAACCAATTCGTCGAAAGAACATCCGCGCCAGGGTCTGCTGTATTCGAGACTGACAGGACAGTACGACGTCCTTTAGAAGGATCTTCTTTGGCAACCACATTGATTCCAAGAAGAAATTACTTAAGACTGCCCTTTCGATGCGATAATTACCGCACCCTCGACGAAATAACTACCTTCTAGAAGAAAGCCAAAAGGGAAGACGATCCGAGGACGCGAATGTTCGACTTTGACAACGTTTCGAATCGTTTCCTTCGATGTCCAGGACTGCGTCACGCGGTACGAAATATCATGGATGGTGAAATATTTCATGGAATATTGCATATCACGAGAAACCGATAATTGCTCGAGAGAACGTTATATCAAACGGTAATCACGATTAATCGAATACAGAGAGTCGATCAGGGCCGCGTCGAAAGCGATGTCATCCTACGCGCCGAAATAATTTCGAGATCGAAAAATAATTTGATGTTCAATCATCGACGATGACGCGTGTACGCATAACACATAGGGCATCGATGACGCGAAATCATTTGGAGGTAACGAAAGCTCCTCCTTTATGCATACCGTTTTGAAAGTTTCAAAACCTTTTGATGCTCGGCATCGCGGCCACCGCGCTATGGCAAATATCGGCTCGCTGCCTCACCCAAAATACGCTTCCTATATTTCGCCGCGATTTCCAAGGGCCGTTTCGATTAGCTCGATCCAGCGGCATGGAATTTCAATTTCGATTCCTAGTACCGATCCATTTCTCGCGCAACGTCGCGTCGTTGCATGATCTGTACGCCGCACCGTTGAGCAAACCGATTCCAACACGATTTATAACGCGATCTATAAGCTTGCTATATCCAACGCACCGTGTAAAAGGCAATGCTCTAGCTTCGATGAGAAGAAAGTGGAAGAAGAAAAATGGAGTAACAGTCTAAATAGAAGCGATCGAGAGAAGAAACAACGCGTTCATGCGATCCACTCGACCGTTGATAATGGCACAAGTGGCAATGCTGACTCGCAAAATTCCAAATGGGAGAAACGTTAAATAAACAGCTTAAATCTTTCGACTGTATCAGGCGCACAAAAATAAATCGACCTTGTAATTCGTTGAATCTAATTTATTTATCGACCACTTATGAACGACAATGGCAAAAGGTTCGTAAGTAAGACGTTTCTAGATTTCGAGCCACGCTTCAATATATGCAATCGCCGTCAAACTGCTCACTGTAATTATGCATATCGTGTCAAAGCTGTGAAACAAGGTAAAAATGAAAATTAACGTGCACGCGACGAAAAATTTGAACGAGACATTCGGATTCGTTAGCGTGCCGATACAGTTCGGAAAACGCAGGCATGCGAGTAACCGGATAATTTTAATGGAACAAACAATGATTCATTGTTTATCTCGTTCAACGACAAGTAGCTTGTATATTGTTATGCAACGATGAAACGTCGCATTGTAAAGCCTATATCTGATAACGATCATATAGAAGTTTCCTTTGTATTGGAATAAAATGGAAAATGCGGATAAACCCTTTAGAGGCGAAAGCTCTCTACAGTTCTTGTAAAATTATACTGTTCCAGTAAGGAGCAACCTATTAGAAAACGTAGAGACCTATCGATGAAACATGATTCTAATGCCCGCGTATCAACGAAACCAGCATCGCGTACGCTCGCATCGAACACGATACTACAAGTCATTACTTTCACATAATACTAGGCTGACTTTTGCCGCTCTATTATCCCGCTATAGGTTACTCCAAATACCATTTCCAAATATCGTAGTAATAATATGTAACTATCAATGAAGACTAGAAAAACATAGCAAAAAAAGATAATAAGGGAATAAAGTACCATACTTACTCAATATGTCGTACTGAGGCAGCCACTTCTCTATAAGGACGTTATTGGAATTATCCAATCCAGAATTATCCGGTATGCCGTCCACTTCCCATTTCCAAATCACTTTTCGAGGTATAGAGGTAAAAACTTTGATAAACACTTTCAATTTGTCCTCCGGCATCGAGGCCGTCTTCACCATCGAGCCGAGATTAAAATACAAGACACCTTCGTGAGCTTCGTCCAAAAACTTTTTAATTTTCGGTGGCAAGGGTTTCACTTTCGGCGAGATGTGAATTCCACCGATCTCGATCACATTCGGCGGGAACGAGATAGCACCGTGAACAGAATAATGCGTGTTGACGAACATGAGTGATGCGTTGTTACTGATCGATTTCAAATCCGGAATTCCCGGACCGTAAAATTCGTTTGCCACGGAGTAATCGCGCCAATTGAACAGCGTGCGGAATGCCATCGTTGTTACGAATGCCGATACCGCGTTTATCATTCTTTGGAAAAAGTTCATTGGCCTTGGCAATCGAGTAAACATCGACGGTATGTAACTGGCTTCGTTTGAGACTCCTAAATCATCGATAGCCCATGTCATCAACTGATGAGTGGATATTTGTATAAAAGGCACGTTAAACTTGTGTACGAGCACCATGAAACAGTTTGTATTGAAGCTCTCGACAAGCATCAGATCGAACTTCTTCCCAGAGTCGACCAACTGTTTCACTTCTGGATTCTTCAGGGCAATATCGCAAACCAGTCCCGACATAGTGTACAGCATGTATAAATCAGTAAATATTTGAAAGTAGGGACTGTAAATGGCATGTAGATCGACCACGTTTACAAACACACCGAGTTTCTCATTTCGCAGACTAATATCCTTGTAAGTGGGCAAAGGTTCCTCCGCGATCGCCTTCTCAGTTCTTGGAAAATGAGAAATTACCGTCAGGTCGTGACCTCGACGGCTTAGCTCCTCAAGAAGCGGTTTGAACACGTCAAAATGACTCTTACCGAGGTGAGCAAAGACTGCCAAGATTTTCAGCTGCTTCTTTGGCATCGTGGAATTATTAGCGTCTGAACAAGACGTTAGAACCACCAGGAAAAGTAAAAAAATAATTCGGTTTCCAGTAATCCACATGATTGAACAGTTTCCGGTTCTCGGTAGGACTCAGACACACGCACACTAAGTTTCTTCTTCTTCGAAAGATGATCGGTACTCTGACGGACTACTATTCGAGAACTGGCTATATGTATATCCCTCCTCTTCTACCGACGTCAGATTCGCCGCTGAATCCACAGATCCCACTACAAAACCTGTCTCACTTCGAACAGTTCTATTTCTTTTTAACGGGAGTTCCAATTTAATTTGACCATGACCTCGACTTTATCTACAAACGAAATTAACGAGTATATCACATGCTTGTTAACTCGATATGACATTTCATTCTTTTCTTTTTTCTTTTTTTTATTATTCACAAGTATATAACACTTTAGTGTACAATTCGATTAGAAATCGTTTATACGTAACAATGTTCTATTAATATCATAGATATTTGAAAGAGGATGGTAAACAAAAAAAGTCTATCGAATGACGAAATTTATTGACGTTTACTATTATGCGGTTAACTACTGTTACTTTCGAATAACGTTAACGTTTTTAATTTAAAAAGGTACAGTATTTTGGGATACGCGGCGCGGATAATATTTTATCTACTGGTAGTAAGTCAAACGTAATTTGTCTACGATCAGAGGATAAATAAATTTAATTCAGTTTGCATGTCCAAGAAATTGTAATCACATATTGCTGATATCATGATATATCATGATGATATCGTATAATGCTGACACGAAGATCAAACATGTGAAGCTGTACACATTAACAATATAGAATTTTCAATGTATTAATAACTCTAAAAAATCCAGAAGTTTTATTAAATAAATCCAAAGTTTTAAATGCACTGCCATTCGGTTACGGTTTGACGAAACGTCGATACCAGTATCGTGAATATTATCTACTGTAAACATTAGCATTAAAAACATTTTATGTTGTTGTTAAAACATAATAGACATAATAATTTTATAATTGCAGTCGTTATTTGCATAGTTGAAGCTATCCATATGACTTACTGCAAAAAGCGATATTTTCGTTATCGATTTGTCACAGTGCAAATTCCAAATGTAGAACTATGTACTTGTTATTTACAGAATTAAACCTATGGTTCACTTTGCCGTCCCACATATAAAAAATTGAAAATCGATTAGATATCGATATGATAAGGAACGCAAAAGTGGACTGGGAAGTGATTACTTGTCACACTGTTCGTACGCGCCTGACATTTACGTAATAGATCAGGCTTATGACGCAATCTGCAACGACTAACGATGATTCGCTATTCCGGGCTTACAGCTGCAGTTGCAATTAGAAGCTTAAAAGAGTTCATGGTACCACGTATCTCGATTATGTATGGATAAATGACAGCGTGCATGTTCTCTAACGTTTCCCTGTTACACGCTTGCTATTGCGACCTTCGTGTTAACGCGATAAGAATGTTGAAACTTGTACAATGTTTCGGAAGTGTTACGAGAAAACTCTAAGATCATTCGAATGATTTGAAAGAATTATCTCTCCTCAAAATAGCAGTGACATCCGTCAAAGTGAAGATGATTTACGGAAATAAAGATATAGTAGCAACAGATACGCTCAATTGGAAAAAGGAACTTATCAGCTTTAACTACTTCTTTGATATATGTACATATTCGGAAAAATACTCAGAAGAAATACGAGCAAACGATTATCGCGTTCTGCGTATCGTATGTACCTTAATCGTAAAAATATTTTTCCAAGGTAAACATAAATAAAATTCCAAGATTATAATTCTATAATTGCAATGCTTCGAGTAATTTATATAGTCAGTGCACCGACTGTGACAGTTCTACGATACGTGGGGGTCAAACGAACGCGTACGAAAGATCAATGTTTGGTAGACTAACTATGTTCGACTTACCTCGACAATTGATCAATCTCTACTAGCACAACCGACGTAACGCGCGCTGCTCACGAAGAGTATTTATAGAGATGGACATTGAACATTAACCAAAACGACATTTCAACGTTTGAACCATCGGTTCACAATGCAAAACTCGACGCGTATTTTCAAAGGCGCCACGGTGAATTCTCTAAAAAAAGATATTTATAATAAGATGCCGCATATACCTAATAGATGAATCACGACTCTCTGCAGTATTAAAAGCCTTCATTCGTTGTTAGGTATTTTCTCGTGGAATTTCAACCCGTTCGGTACGCCGCAATGGCTATCCGACTTCGTTTGTCCTTCGCTCGCGACGCGAATAAATTCGTTGGATCGCGGAACAACAGGTAGAGGCTCGTTAAAATGTACATCGTAGCTGATGGTTTTATTAAATTAGCGACGAACGGTTTCTTCGTCGATTCGATTTAAAAGCAGAGGCTACAACACACGCTGGCCGCAGTCGCGAGGCAAAGTAAAGCACGCGAAGGCAGAGACGACTCGATTCCCTTGATCCAACGGCACAGCGTTCTCTGTGTCACGTGCTTCTGTATTTTACTTTTTCCCGCTTTTTCGGCTTTCTCGCTCGACCGTATTACGTTGTAACGGCACTTTAGTTAATTACCTTGGAGCACCAATGGAACCAACCCTCCACTGTACGCCCACTCTTTATGCATATCCCTCTCTACTTCGTTTCTCCTTCGAGTGGTTTTCGATACTCTTCACTTTGTACTGTCCCCGATAATTCCACTCCGTGAAGCACGATTCCAGACAGGTAAATACGAAATACGAGAAAAGAAAAATATATGTATATAAATATAAACTACATATATGTATAAAAATATAGATTTTTCTTTGGTATTTTTCCCAAAGGTCTTACCTCTACCACCCTCCCTTCGGGCCTTATCGTTCCGGTGACTCGCTTTCTTTAATTTTCCATTTGTCGTTCCACTTTCCGCTTTCTTTGTTCCATCCTAGTAGCAATGTAAAATAAACATCTTGGATGCTACACAGTTTGCCGATAATCGATCGAATGTTTGTATAACCATAGTAAACTCGCGACTTGGAAAAATCCATCGTAACGTTGCAACAATTCGGGAAAACAATTTAAATTGCCGGATATCTTTCGACCTCGCGAGCTATTTCGTTTATTTTACATTAAGCTCCGTTCACACGAGCCACCGTTTCATAATGCTGGGTGCTCAATGTAATTTCACGCCTCTGGCATAATTCTGTTTTGTTACGAGCGATTCGACGAGATCAACGAACTCGGTTTCAATTTCTAATTTTCTTCGGTTTCAAGAGCAAAAAATAACGTCGTGTCGGTGGAATATTTGCGATTATCTGGATCGTTGACAAGGAACGCGCGCTGCACGCCAACCGACTCCTACATATTCCACAGAGAACTCAAAATTCGCTGACGCCCGTGGTGACACAAAATCACACGCGAGACATATATCCAGAACCAGGCCAAAGACTCGCAAGCTCGACATAATATTCCCCGAATCTCGAAATTCGCGTATCGAAACGGCTTTTATCATCTCAATGATTTGGAAGAGCGATTCTATCGATTTCTCCTCTGCTACCGATAAACCACTACAAAATACAAAGACATTAAAGTAACGAGAAAATATTTTACACCACTTACTCCGACTAAGAAAAGAACTGGAACTAACGACAGCGAAACGAATGTCCGATCCGCGAAACAGGGTTGTGTTCCGAACTACCTAACGTTGTATTTATGAAGTCCCAGCAGCGAAGAAGCCCGCGCCATAAATTCCCCATCGAAATCTCTTAATCCCAAGCACTGAGCACCCTCGTCGCAAACGGGGGCAGTCGATAACGAATCCAGCAAATCAAAATAAACGATACCGTGCCGCGAATATCCGTCGTGGAGTGTGCCTCGAAATTGATGCCTACCGCTCTGTCCTGTTACACGAGCCAAAACGCGATAAACCTCTCGATTCAGTTTGTTCCCGTGACGTACAAATTTTCTAGAAACTCGTGATGGCCAGTGGCGTTCGTTGTGGTCGTCGGTACAAGAATAGAGAAAATTGCAACCTCTCAAATGGTTTGGACCAACCATGCCAATGGTTTGCCAGAGGATGTAGGTAATTGGCTGAACCCCATCGTTCCTTCGTCCCATTCTTTATCCTTTCTTCCGTTCTTTTCTTCCTATTTTTTGTCCTTTTTTCCCCCCGTTTGTCTCTTTCCCGACCTTTTTGTGGTCATTTTCTCATGAGGAGGAAACGTCGATGCGCACTGGAAGAAACGAAAAGGAATAGTCAGAAAGTCAGGTATTTTTTAGTTACGCACAGCGAATACAAACAAAGAGAATTCGAGCGTCGGTCGGTTTGCGTTGTTTAATTCATGAATTCGCCAGCGGCAACCCGGCTGCAGTCAGGTGGGGAAAATTATCTACAAATTACCGGCAAGAACGGTGCCAAAAGCGAGGCCACGAAACGTGCTAATCTACGAACGTTTCATCGGCTCGAAACAATCTCTTTCGAAAAGGTGGAGGATGAGAGAGAAAAAAAAGCGAGAAAAAAGAAGTATTGCGTTAATCCGATGCGGAAATATCCGAGATCTGCGTTCATAATGCGCGCACGAATTGATCGGATATCCGTGATGCGAACGAACTAGCGAACCGACGCTCATATTGACTTTTAATTTAGAAGCGCGATCGCGTCGATACGATTCGGCAGATTTTATCGGGACTCGTTGCTAACTACTGTTTATCAAACACTAACGAAATCGTTCGCCTGAATACCTAACATAATTGGAGATCTCTCGGCTGGAATCGAAACACGCGTGAATTTTAACGAGAATGGCTTCCACGTGGGTTCATATTCCGCGTGCAACCTTCGCCGACGCGAGGAGAAAAAAATAATACACGCGAAACAAAGACCGTTTGTGTCCAAAGTAAAAAAACTAACGCATCGCTGGATACGTTTCTATAGGTCGTTTCGAGTGAAAAATATCGCGTCAATGCGTATCCAATTCGCGATAATGTAGGAACGGAGGATAGGCAAAGAATCGACTCGATATTACGACTCACACGGATAGGTTCGGCGTTACACAAAGCTCGATGGCATCAGACTTTTTCCTTTGCAACTTTTTCGTGCACTTCCCTTTGCCTTTCCTTTCTCATTCATTCCTGCGCATTTTCATTCCCTTTCCCCGATGCGTTTCGACCTATCTTCTTACATTTCGCACCTGCTTTGTCAAACATCTTTCATCTCGTAGTCGTAGTCATCTAGTCGAGAGACTAGAACGATTACTGGAAGATTGAAGTATGAAATCATTAAAACAGTCGCTCAGTAAGAATTACGATATTACGTACACGTTTCCCATCGAAACGTGTGTTTCACATACCGATATTTAGCGTATTGTTTTCTCTGATATATCCTGTAGGGGCACCTGTAGCCTGAATCGAGCTAACGTAGAGAAATTAATAATCCTCTGTGTATTCCATTGAGAAAAGGGTGCCGGAGTATTTTCGCGAACTGCAAATGGCGCTCGGTGGCTTCTTTTTCCACGCGGTGCTTCCCTCCGTGGCGTTCCTTCTGTCCTTTTCTCACTCGTCCGCCTGGTGTTCCCTCATAAAAGTTAATAAGCCGGCTGGCTGGGTTCGTCGATCCCGTGGAAATTGCGGGAGACCAAACACGCCTTCCTCGCGACATTTTATACGTCTATTCTATTCGTCGTTACGACCAACCTTCTCCCCCCTGTTGCACTGTTTTTCACCCCCTTTCCTTGTCGTTTCTCTCTTTTTTCGCGAGTGTTTCTTCTGCTGCTCTTCCCTGTGTGCACGCGCATCTACACGCTGACACACGATCGACCCTTCCTCCTCCCCTGGAAAGGGTGACACGCGTAAAAGTAGACAAGCTCGAGTTACAAAATCCACTCTAGCGGTGAGAACGAGCGGCTAAGCCACTTCCCGCTAATGACACTCGAACAGAACGAAATTTCTGCGGTAAAATCTCGTGAAAGTGGAGATCCTCTGTTTTTAAAAGCAGTCTATCGACGAACCAAGGTTCATCAACATTATGCAACACGAGGCTAATGTTCTCTTAATTGTCTCTTCCGTTGCAACTGCAACTGTCTTAATTTACTCGCGTTAAGTGGTTAACAGTTGTGCTTGTATAATTATATTTAGAGCGCGTGTATACGGCGCAGTTAACGCAATGTTTATGCTCAAGATACTTGGAACTCGTTAGTTGACAGAAACGTTAAAATTCGTCTCATAGTTCATTACAACTTAGCTTACTTACTACTTGGCTGGATATTTTTTAAGAAACATAAAATATTATTCTGACGACAGGCGTCTCTGCGTCAATAGGCTCAATTAGATGTTTTAATTCGTAACTTCGCGATATAAAGGAGACTGTTCTAATTTTAACAGACAATAAAATTTTATTACTCTTTGAGAGACTCTCGGTCTGTTACGGTCAGGGCTGGAAATTTCTTCGTAGAACTATTTCACGCGATTAGTGGTACGTGACGAAATGAGCTTAACGCGTACCATCCTTTGATTCTCCCTTTCTCGTTTCTTTGATTTCACTCGGCAACGGTAACTACCATCCATTCAAAAATTTAATCCACGGGTCGCGCTTTGATCATACGACGGAATCGATGAGCATCGCCAACATCGAATCACGTCGCCCCGCGCCTCCCTGGCTCGCTTTAATCATTTAAAGGAGCTTGATTCGCTCCTTCCACTAATTCGACTAACCCCTGCGGCCGTCCAGCTGCTCGTTTCCTGCTACCATCGAATTGATCGTTTCAATTTACCAAATACAAATGTGACAAGCTTTTAATTTATTATTTAAATGATTCTCCGTTGAACGTGGCGGCACGGTAACTGCAAAAGTCATTACGGAATGAAATGCAAGTTTGCGCCGCTTATACCGCTTGTTTCTCTGTTTATACCATTTTCCTGACAAAATATCCGACGATATCACGTGGGGTTATTAAAAGCTCCGCGGCGGTAGATCGCAATTTCAATAATACCGCTTTAAGCTCGTCGCGAGCATCCCTCGAAGAAGCGTCGCTTCTGGCACAGAACGGTCGCCAGCCAATTTATTATTCCGGAGGTATACAACGCACGCCCAGCTAGCCAGATGTGGCCCATCGACGCAAATTACGCGAGCCGCGACGATATTTCTCCAAAAATTGCAACGGCCACGTCGTCGTTCCACGCTCCATCTTTCGCCACCCTCAACTGTGGCGGTATCGTGCGTTTTATTAGACATTACAATAACGTATGCATGAAAATTTCAGTAAGACGCATTTCCGCAAAAATTGCGCGCAACGTTGGAACGTCCTGCTTGGATTCACGATAACAAGCGAGAGGGGAGGGGGTAGTTTTTATTAAAAACGCGCGACACGAGGAAAGGATAAGATCAACGCGATATAGCTTTATTATCGCGGCTTTTAATATCTCTCGAGAACGAGACGCGTTTAATCCGCCTGATGCTACCAGGTCGCGTAGAACGCGATCGTTGACCGGCCTTGATTTCGTTGATCTAAGTGCAATTGTGCAAAGCCGTCGAAAATCAGACTAACGCGTTAATGGAAACCGACTAATATATTTTTTCGTGGTTCAAGCGTAATCTCGTAGAACAATTACATTATTAGTAACTCCAAAGATAATATTTGTATGTATATTTATGTCGTTGTCTTAATTACTGGAGCTCGTGGCTTCCGATTGAAACATTTTTGTAAAATTACCCGCGAATGTGTTGAAATAGGCATCGATCGAATTATCAATTTACTCACAATTTTACTTTTACTACTCTTGTAATTGCAAATCTTCCATCTTGTTGCGAAAATGGACGGAAAATCAAAGAGGAAATCTTGTAACGATCGCTTGTAATGAAATCGCGTCGTATCTGCGGATTTGGCAGACGAGAGCAAAGAAATTGAAATACGAAGTAGAGAGGAATCGTAACGACACCCAGACGGAATCTGTTCCCGTTCAATTATTTTAATGCATACCGCCGGTCGCGAACCAAGAAAGCGCTTTTTTTCTCCACAACCAGGCCCAACGTTTGATCTTTGGTTCTCGGTAAACGTTCGAGAGCTATGCGCTCAAGAGAGAGAAGGGGAAAAACGAAAGGCAAGATCGCTGTTGGAGGAGGAAAGATGCAAAAAGAGGAAGAGAAAATGGTCACAAAGATCGAGCGGGAGAGAAAAAGAGGAGGCTAGAAACACAGGAAAATAGAGAGGGTTGCCGAGAGGCCGAAGAGACGTATGACTCCCAGGGGAAATTTAGGTGCGACCTCCATGTATCACGGAAGCTACCGTAAGTAGCTACGTAACCGACGTACGTACACAACATACCCTCGCGATCCTACATGTACGCGGGTTGTACACGCGCGGGCAGAGACCACGGTTGCACGCGGCAGACACCCTAAGTGTGCTACCAGCGATTTGCCCAATCGGGAAATCGCCGCGTAAACTGTAAACGACGCACAAAACGTTCGAGCTAGCAAATTGCTCGGCACAAAAGCGAGATTTACAGAAACCACCAAGCTACCTGGATGACAGAGAAATCGCTACACAGGGTCTAGTCTCCCCAAGGATCATACAATGTCCTTGTATCGCGTGTTTGCCGAAGGTGAAAATTGCTCGTGTCTCTCGTATTTGCTTAATGTTATGGTTTAACATGGTGTCAGAGTATCATTGAATACTTAATGCTCGGAAGAAAGGATTTCTAAAGGAGAAAATGAGCTAGCGCCGGTTACCACGTAAAAGAAATGGAAATGGAATTGGACGATTACGCCAGCAAAAACGATGACTCGCCTGGAAAGTGCATTTCTCGAAAAAATTTCCATCGGTGTAAAAGAATAGATCACGTGGCGTTGAAAAGCTCTCTTGGCGCGCTATAAAAATCCGCTATCAGATCGCTTTCCACTCGAGGGGCGTGAAGCACGTATAATGGCGGGTAGCCGCGTTTTCCACGGATGCAAACCGGTGAACGGTCTACAGCCACGCGTGCGAGTAGGTGTAAAACCGAGCAATGACTACACCCCTACACCTCCGCTGTTACTAGGAAATTCTCTCCATCTCTCTCTCCTCTTTTCATCTCTGCCATGAAACACGAATACCTTCAGCGATTTCGTTAATTTTGAACGCGCAACCAGATTTTCGGTATTCCACTCGATTTTAGATAAAATTGACCAAAGAGACGAATTTCTCCTTTTCACCCGATAAATTATTCGTGAATATCGTTTTAACTCGACACCCACTCGAACACCTGAGATGACCCTACAAAAAAAAATGGATATAAAATACTGTTTGCAGTTTACACCGCGTGTGTGACAGCAATGAATAATACTCGACCTCCAATGACGATAATCGGTTTTATCAGATACAAAAATAGAAGATTGGAACATCAAACGAACAGTGAACACAAAGTGAACCTCATCGCCATCGTTGGCGATAGTCTTCTTTCTTCGTCGGGCATCGAACACGAAGATTTCGTGGCTGCGAGAGAAGAGGAGAAATGGTAATAAAATCGATGCCCTGGATCTGTCGTCGGTTTGTAATTGAATCAAATTAATCACCCTCGTCGACCTCGAGTCCACACTCTTCTCATCGTTGTAGGAGCGCGCCGCTTACCATCTCCAATTAATAGCAGAAAGCTGCACGTTTCGTTGGAACTTTATAAAACGAATCCAATTACGAGCGACCGTTTGTCAAAGGCTCAAAGCCACGGAAAGTTTCACCTCGGTTCGGAAATGACGTCGCCCGCCTGTTTTTCTTCCCTCCGTCTCTGTCAATAGGAATAAACGAGAAGCCGACGGACGCGCGGCCGACCCGCCATTAGCTTTAAAAGATACTCAGAAAATCGTATAATCAAGTGTACCGTCTGTTTACCACGTCTGGCTACAGTCGATCGTGTATTTCATAAATATTCTCGGCTTGTATTGATGGAAGTTGCAAAATAAATTCATAGGATTCGTGTTAATCGGAGAAAGTCTGTTGATGGCAAGTGTCCCCTTTCGTTGATTAAATACAAGAAAATAAATAAACGTCCTGTCAAGGATCGTCCTACATTTCGATACGGTGAACTCCTAGAGCCTCTCACCGATTCCCTAAACTAGCACGTATCACGAATCTGACCGCGAGCAATAGGGCAGCAATTCTGCCTATTTAGGTAAACATCTCGACTGCTAAATTAATTATGCTTTCTGAAAGTACATGTTATTCTATATATCGGCAATTTATGTGGATGAAGAAGTACAGGAAAGTTAACAGTCCTTGATGATCCCTTAAATGGTTCCTGGCTTTCAGAATGCACTCTTATGATACGGTAAGTAGAAAAGTGCCGTCTATACACAGACAATACGGTATTAGAAGTTGTATAAGATGCTGTTTGTTTTTTAAACTAAGCATTGATTTAATTTTTAAAATTACGAACTTTCTCATAATGAACGAACGTCAAAATTTAACAAGAAACTTGTGATGTTATAAATGTAATAAAAATAAAAAACTGAAAATATCTGTTTAATCTATTTTCCCTATGCTCTTTACTAAACAAACTGAATGGATTTCATACAATGGTTAAAGTTTACTCGTGCTTCGTGTAGGAAAACATGTAGATTGAACACCAAAGCAAATACGAGACGCCTCTACCTCAAGGTAAATAACAATTCCCTAATTGCTGCTGAATTTATATAATAGATAGACTGAGAAACGTTGGATGTTTAATTAATAAATCAACATTTGTATTCCAAAATCATTTAACATTAAAGTAATAAATGGAATTACAATGAAAATCGATGCAACTATTCTTATCTATTCCCATTACAACTATAAGAATACGTCACATGTACTTTCAAGAAAAAAACTAATTTATTATAATAGATCAAAGATATTAACTGGATAGATACCTTACTATGAAAATTAGTTTCTAAATATTAAAAAATATTCTTTTACCGGAATATTCCCCGATCTTTTATTATAATTAGAATGACTATATGAAATTGTAACTGATAATTATTACAGTCCTATGATACATTACAATCTTATAAACATTACATACTTTGGTTCGATATTGCCTACAAAATTGTCAGAATACATAACACTCCATGTCTTAGAATGCAATCCGTTCTTTTAACTAGGGATTGTGGCATTTACACATTATGAACAATCATTAAGATTGTATTACTTGTTAAAACCTGCTTTTTTTCATTAAAAGATGTATTAATTTATTACTAACTTCGCTTCGATTTTGCTTACATTGCAAATGCATATATATTACATGCCGTCAGGCACCTGCAATAAACAGAATTTCAAATAGTGTATATTGCAGGTAATCTATGGACGGTAGATACTAAATGCTATATGCGAATTGATTTTATATACGAGAAAATGTTGCTCAAAAAACTCTTTACAATACTTTACTACATTTTTTTAAAACGTGTCAAACTAAGTGAAGAAGGAATGAGTAGTATTCCTTACACCTTATTTTACTTGAAAATGCGAGAGCATTAACAATATCTCAATTAGAAATATCAACTACGCTCTTAATCTATATATATATATATATATATATATATATATGTACATCAATAAGAACACATTTGCCCCATTTCACTACATTTACCTCATTTGTAATATTAGAACTACGATTTCTGGAACATAAAAATGCGAGAATACATACGTAAAGTTAGATTTTACAAATCTAAATATTAGATTGCCCTGTTGCTTTTTCAAACGAACGTTAATACTTTATGATACGAAAATGTAATAAAAACTTAGATGGTGAAAAATAACAAGAAATTTGTAACGCTTCTCAGCTTAGAAATATTATATAATATATGCTACCTGAATCTAAAAAATTTTTTAAAGTAGCTTAGGTTTATCCACGTATTGTTTGCCGTGATGGATAATAGTTGCAAATGTACCAGCTACCATAGCACCCCAAAATAGCATATACAACAAAATTTCAGTAGTATATCTCGAAGGCAAAATTACGTGAGCAACCAACATGGATGATGCAACAAGGAGTACCAAAGGGAACGTAGCATAACGCCAATTCCTTTCCGATTCCAAAGGACATTGAAGTAACGTACATTCACCATCTTGTACAATGTAGCGACCCAAAAATAAGTCCAATGAATCCTGTTAAATGAATATATTGTAACTTATCATATGCAAACAAAAATGAGAAATCTTTGAGGAAAAAAAGTTACATACTTGTCTATAACCGTCGGTGAAATTATTTTTATAGTATCTTGTTAAAGAATTCAAACCATCTCTGATTGCACCCAATTTAGTTCGTTTACCAGTTCGAGTAAAATCTGTCTTCAATGCACCAGTACCTGAGTATTGAACACTTATAACGTCTGCATTGTCAGTCCAAATCTAGAACCAATGTGTTAAAGTTTTATATGAAATAAGAAATTTGAAATAGAAAAATGAGCACAATTAAAGTTATACTCTTACCCGTTTGAATTGTTCTTCGACGCTAGGATGATCTTCAATCTTTCTAAGGACCTGCAACCTTGGTAACACATCATTAAGAACTTTCTTTGCAATCATACTTTGAACAACATTAGTTCTATCAAGACAATCGATGCAATTGGTACGGAAAACGCCGTCTTGCGCCGATAACAGTGTTCCATCTTCCAACAATAAAAAGTAACCCATCTGTTCTAATTCGGGAGCTAATCGATCGAGTAATACATTTAACCGGTCCCATCTCAATCTTCTACATTCAGCGTGAAAATCAAAACTTTCGTACCGAACGTTCTGATTATTAATTCGTTGTACTACATTGCCGTATGCTTTTTCAAGTACAGCTTCTGGACCACGTTGATCGATCTGTATTAAAATTACGATGTTGGAATTAGAGTAGCCGTGATAAAAATTTAATTTCCTTCAATTCTGTTTATCAACTTACTAAATTTATCAATATTTGCTTCCCATAATGAAATATTTGAGTTTCAAAATGCCGTGCACAGGCAGTTTGATGATCCTCGTGAGTACTCAATTGAGGTTTAGGTTTATATTTCAAATTTGGTGCCTGATACCAGAATAAAGGAATAGACCCTCGCGTTTGTACAAAAGACATGCGATGTCCATTAAATTCAACTAGTTGCTCTGTTTCTACATAATTAGAAACATTACCAGTAGTGTCTATGCCACGTGAAAACAACCTTGTTCCTGCACGATGCACACTTCGTCTAGATACTACACCCAAATTAAATGATGTACTACCAGTTACAGTAATAGTATTTAATGATACAACTAAAGAAACATTAAGGAAGATATATATGTGTATATGTATATATCTATATAGTGTATTCTTTTCTTTCCTTTTGCTTGCAAGGATACATCCATGAATAATAGGCAGACAAAATTTATATTGCTCAGGCCTTGATGTTAGGTCTTGCAGGAGATAAGCATTCCATACA